CTGGAGGAAGCAGGGACGTACAGTACGTTCCTCAGTACTTGTAGAAAGAGATTGGCAGACGGCAGGCCCGGAAAGGTAGCACTGCGCGTGGGCATTTGAAAACGGAAAGTGAGGACAGGGTCTAGAGGGTGGAATAAAAACATGAACCTTCTCTCAAGGAGTTCATGATCTACGGGGGAGATAGGATCTTTACCCAACTGTCATTGAAGGTAGACATTAAGGAGGCCATAACAGGTAAAAATCAAGAACTAAAGAAGAGACCAAATACCACAGACCAAGAGAGGCTTCTTGTATAAGGTGACTTTTGAGTTGGCTTTAAGGGACGCAAATGGCCAGGAAAGAGAGACCTCAGGGGGAGCAGCTCCTGTCAGTAGGCAGATTATGAGTGAAGAAGGCACATTCTGGAACCCTAGGGAACAGTTGTTGAACAGTGGGCACTGACATGGACTGAAACACTTAGCTGGTGCAGAGTAAAAGCGATTTGATGAGTGAGTAAATGCAAGAGTCTGGAGAAACTGGAATGCCATTTTGGGCTCTAATTACAGAGATTACACAGTGGCAGCCCTCAAGCCCATTTTGATGCATGGAACTGTTACTTTGGTCAGAATCAATTTAAAATTTAATGTCTTTAAAGAAATCATGCGCTTTCTAGTTCCACTTTTTATTTTCTGGACTCTAGAAAGTCAGCCAGTCCCCATGCCTTATAGCAAGCACTATAGCATAGGATTACTCTTACAAGCTCAGAAGATAGTTTGCACTGGTCCAGATCCTGGTTCTCCTGTCACCCACTAGGTCTGCGATCTTAATTATGTTTCTTAAACTCTTTCAACTTCAGTTTCTTTTCTTTTTTTTAAAGATTTATTTATTTATTTGAAAGTAAGAGTTACACAGAGAGAGGAGAGGCAGAGAGAGAGAGAGAGAGAGGTTGGTCTTCCATCCGATGGTTCATTCCCCAGATGGCCGCAATGGCTGCACCAATCCGAAGCCAAAAGAGCCAGAAGCTTCTTCCAGGTCTCCCATGTGGGCGCAGGGGCCCAAGGACTTGGGCCATCTTTTACTGCTTTCCCAGGCCATAGCAGAGTGCTGGATCAGAAGTAGAACATCTGGGACTCGAACCGGCATCCATATGAGATGCTGGCACTGCAGGCGGCGGCTTTACCCACTACTCCACAGTGCTGGCCCTCTCAACTTCAGTTTCATTGTCTGTAATGGAAAGAGTTCCTATTCTGTGGTATAGGATTTCACCCATGTAAGCATTTAATGTAGTGTCAAGTATATTGTAAGCACTTAACAAATATTAGCTTTTATTATGACATTACCCATTTGAGACTTGAGGATATTTGAGTTTGCAAGTCCTACCTTGCAACTACTAGAAGTTTTTGAGGAAAGACATAACACCTTTTTTAATCTTTTGATTCCTAGAATATTAAACAAAACCCCACTGAAGTTCATTGTAATGAGTAATCCCAAGATACTGAATAATTTTGTTAAATACTGAACTTGTGGGGATGGGGTTTCCCATTAGTAATGTGTGGCAATGGGATTTTTAGAAGTAAATCATTTGTTCACTCGTCACTGGAGAGGATCAGTAGAGGATAAACCACATGTAGCTCGCTGTGCCCATTGTTGTGTTCTGAATGTTCAGAAATTCATTGGCAGCAACTTCCCAGGATAGATCCTAGGCTCAAATGGTCACCTCACTTTGTGAACACATTATTATTGGCTTTAAGAACTAAAATCTTGAATATCCTTATGATTTCAGAAGCTTCTCTGGTAATTTGTTTGCCTATAAAGCTGAGAGATGGAAAGAATTTAACACATTTTTTTGCCCCAAAAAACTACTTGAAAGTAAGAGTACAATAGTTTCAAAATCACTAGAGGGAACAAAACTAGTCTTTTCTAAAAGTGCTATATGCTAAATAAACAAGGGATGCTAATTACATAACTGTCAGTGATGTTTTCTGGCAAATCTAACACCAGTTTCTTGCAGTACAGCAAATATGAAAATGCCTGGAAGTAAATCACAGTTGCTGAGTGTTGTGGGCAAACAAACCCATGCCTTATCTCTTTCAAAGACAGCCATGGAAAATGCATGATCAATCGCACAGTTCAGTGAACAGATTATGTCATTGTGAAATGATTTTGATTCATGGTTATGTATTTATCATAAAACAACTGACAAACCTCAGGGTATCAGACATGTTATCATTTGTAATGTTTCCTTCTTTTCTATTGTAAAATTCAAGTGTTATAAAATGTTTTTTTTCTTTTCATATTTAAAATTCTGCATTGAAAATGGTATTTGCCACAAACTCTTTGGAAATAATTTTTAATTACATTAATTCCTTCCAGAAGTGTCAAAGAGCTGCAAAACATAATAAATAATTCATATTTTACTAATATCTTTTAATGAATATTCCTAGAGCTAAAAATAGACCAAACCATAAACCAGTTGGGTTTAAAAATAGAATTGTAATTTCCTTTTACTTAGTTTATCAATATGAAGAGATTTTGTGTTGTATACTACACCAGTAGAATTATGAATGTGAGAATTATTTTGAGGAAGGTTTTACAGAAGTCATTTTTATACAGGTATGATCCTTAGTCCATGGTCACTGTATTCTACTGTACTGTCTTTGTCTGTCTCTGAAGTTTAGCCTGTTAAATAATTAGACCATATGCCATCTGAATTGTATAGCTATTATATTGTTTTTATTTTTTTAAACTAATTTTTCTCTCAATTGATACTCTTAATGCTTAAAAGCTTTTCTGCTGCTGTTAAAAATAGCAGCCAGGTAACCTGGCAACACAGTCAACTGATATATTACCAAATCATTTATTGATTTTTCTAAATCCTCTAAAGCAGTAACCACTGTTTCTCATTTTTTTGTAATCATAAAATCCTGTTCTAATTTTGGTAAACAAGTTTTAAAAATATGATTTTGGATATTCTGAATAGTGCCCTTTATTGCATTGAGAACTTAAAAACAAAACAACAAAGGAAAACTTTGCACATTAGTATAAATAATCAATTATTTCTTAGAACAGTGAAAGGGATTTTGGTATATCTAATATATCACTATCATTTAATCCTCTTATTCATTTTATGATCTTTTAGTGTATTTTAACCAATTGACCTTTACACATACTTTGCATTTTTTAAATTAAAATAAATTTTAGTAGCCTAGAAATATGGTTTGAAACATTCATAGGATTTTTCTTTCAGCCTTGGAATATGACAAGCCTATTCTATAAATATTTACATCGTTGGAAATTATCTATGTACTTATGCTGATTTTGACTTAACATTATCAAAAATAAGTCTGTTACATTAAGTGTAAGCTTTAAAGTATAAAACCATAGGTCACGTAACTTGATATAGGTATTGCAACATGGCTTACAGCATTGTCCTGGAACATTTTCATTCCCTTTGCTTCTACCATCACAGCCACTTTCACCTTTATATTGAAAGCTCCCAAAATGTATCTATATGAGGATAATTTAAGACATGAGATTTATGTTGCTGTAAAGCAGATATCCTTTATAACCACATAAAACCATTGTCACCAGAAATTTCAGCCCAAGTTTTACATGAAAAGGGACATATTTTATCTTTAATGCCTCATTAAACTTTCTGGAAACAGCCATATTCTAGAATATTCTAGGTGAATGACCACATATGTCTATATTTCTTCTGAAAAGTTCAAATATCAGTGAAACAACTGAACAAATCATTTTTTCTAATAATTAAACAATTTTCTTCTGCTTTATTCTGCCTTTATGCAGAGATGTGACTTTGATGTATCAACCATGTCTCACCTACTGTTCTTTGAATAAGACAGCCAAAACCACCATTTCTATGCTAAAATAATACCCTGAGTCTCTCAGAGTCCACATTGTACTTACACCCAAATTCTGTGTGTATGTGTGCACATGTATGTGTATGTGTAGATTGTGTGTGTACTTGTATATATGTTTATGTGTGCATGTGTGGGTACATGTTTGTTTGCACATGCACACATAAAGAAAGCTGCATTGTGTAGTTAGGAACATGGGTTCAGGAAGTAGCCAGTCCAAACTTAAATGCTAGCCTTGCAGTTTTTCTAGCTATATGACTTTCAGAACGCTTTTCTAAACTCTTACTTCAGTGTACACATATTATAGGGTTGTAATAAGAAATAAGTTAATATATGCAAAGCACTTTGAATACCTAATCCATAATAAGTACTTAATAAAATACTAGCTATTACTATTATTATTACAGTATATTCGGTTGCTATATTTTATTTCTAAAGTTATTTATTTGTATAAATATATTTGTAGAGTGATTAAAAAATACAGATTTCACTGAAGTCAAATACGTAGAATCAGAGTAGAATGATGGTCACCAGGGATAGAGAGAGGTTTAAATGGGGAGATGTAGGTCAGGATAAATGAACTCAGAGTCATTAAGGATGAGTAGAGATCATTAAGACTATAAATAATAATATTGTACTATATACTGAAAACTTACCAAGAGTAGATTTTAAGTGCTCTTACCATAAAAACAAGGCAATAGATATGTTAACTCTCTTGAATATAGCAACCATTTCACTGTATAAATGTATATCAAAACAAGGTGTTATATATTTAAAATATAGACAAAAGTGAAAAACAAAACAATAAGAATGTATATGGTAACAGAATATTTTGAATTGATTACTTAAATTAACTGGGCTATGTAGTACATCCTAGGTGAGAGGAATCAACTGGGGAAAAGCAGCAAAGTTGCATTAAGTTTGTGACTTACAAACTGCACATCAAATGCAGTGAAATGCATTCGGTTATTCAAATATAGGATGACTGAGCATCTATACTGTGGAGTTAGTGTTAAAATGCCACATGGTATTTCCCCAACAACTGGAATACACAGTCTAGCTGGGTGAAGAATAGATAAGATGAGAAGTAAAATAACAATGTTGTGTCAATTATGCAAATTTGAAATGGGTTTTCTTTTTCAGGGAGCGCCCAAACCCATAGCCATGGAACCGTGTGCTGGGAACAGAGCTGCAGTTCTAACCGTGTTCCTTTGTCTGCCACGAGGATCGTCAGGTGCCCCTCCCCCTGGGCAGTCAGGTAGGATGCATAAGGAATAACAGCAGTTAAGCAATGCTTGTGGACTAAAAAGATGAACTCAACAGTACTGCCAGCTTGCACAGAAAGGATCTTTAGAAGGTTCTAATTTATAGTATGGTAAAATGTTATTGGAAGACAAGCTTTTGCCCAAATATACAGGTGTCTGCATTACTATAAATTCAGATTTACAAATGCTTCTTATAAACACATGCTGTATATGTGTATTTGCATGTGATGCACACCTGATACATGTTCACACACATGTGATTGTTGTATACAGTGAGAAATCTCACTAACAGGACAAACAAGTCCTTGAACCTAGCAGTCAGTTTCATTTCTCCCAATATGCCTGTCAATAGGAGGTCAAATTATAAATATTTTTAAGAGTTTGCCTCATGAATATGGGACCAAACCAGAGGACTTATTTGTGTGTCTGGGATGTTTATGGTGGCATCAGAGAATGATGGTGGAATGTACCTCAGCAATGGGTGAGATAATTTCCCAGCACCAGACAGGGGGGTTCACGGGCCAGGGGAATGATCTCCTGACAGGAGCCCAGCCAGCATGGTTCTGATTCTCCTTTTCTGACATGAAAAGCATGTTTTGAATTTGAGAGTAATTATATGCATTCTCTTGGAAAATTCCCCATTGCTGTGTTATCCACACTATAAAATGCTCACTGTTGAGTATACCTTGTATTAAATCACAAATCACAGATTTTTTTCTCTCCTTTTATATATTCTATTCCATCTATTTAGAATTTCTAATTTTTCTACCTCATGATTATTTTATCTATCCAACTCCGTGGAATAGATGCTTTTTGAGAGCAAGGGTGATTTCAAATATCTTTTCAATTCCCCTTAAGAATAAAATAAAGCATCAGAGATCTTCCAGGTTCTCCATAACAGTCACTGATGTTGAATTGCCTTCCTACTTAATCTTTTCTTGCTCCTCTAGTTGGCTTTGATCTTGCTCCTCACTTTTTTGATTTGTTTTCAACTACACATATGTGCATACTAGTAGGAAGTATACTACTTTAGATATTCATGTAACTGAACTTTTCCCATATACGGAAGCAGAGGATTTCTCTCACCATGGACTCATTATTTATGGTACATAATGCTACCCTGCTGCAGGAATTTCTATCCAAATTCATTTGTAGGTGTTAACTCATAGGAATAAACATTTTGGACACTCTCTTATACATTGACTGAATGCCTCAAACTTCTTTCACCACCATCAACGTAAATGGGATGCAGGAAGCACAAGAGCGTGGCACTGGTCAGATAAGATGGATAATTATAGGTACTGTGCCGAGCTAATGGAAGTATTCTTTTAAAGCTGGGATGATTTCCAAAACAAACACTTCACTAATGAAAACAAGTCTATGTGATATACTCCAAGGTTCTTCTAGATCCTTGACAAGATGATTTGCTGATGAGCAGATTGAAGGCAACTGCCAATATTCTGTCCCTTTAACCTTTGAAATCCTTTTTGACTGATTTAAAATAGCCAAGTAACAGCATGGACCATTACCTAGGATGTGTTTTCTTATAGATACATTATGACTACTAATGGCAACGCTATCTTCAATGTGCACAGTGCTTTACTCTTTGTAAACAGTCCCTCTATTTTTCACATTTGAACTTCATGACAAGACTGGGAGATAGAAAATATAAAACTGACTTTATAAATGAGAGGAGTAAGGCCAGAAAGCATTGCGTTTCTATGTGCAGTGAATAATTGGGGTGGGGGAAGACAACAGACAAAATAGCATTAAGAGCAAGATGTACTGATTGCCAGCATTCTGGGTGACTTTTCCTGATGGTCTGTAGCAGGGACCTTATTTCTCTGTAATTGATGGCCCATGTCTTTGCAAAGCCAAGAATTCATCAACAGAGTTGATATAAGTAGACAAAACATTGAAATAGTTTACCATACTTTTTAGAGAACCTGAAGATTGAACTATGATGATTATCTTCTGTGTGGATCATTCAAGATGAGTTTGTTCCTTGTTTTAAAAAACATGTAATAAATTTTCCAGTTATTCTATAGAAGTAAGAAGATTCTTTGATTCTACTCCTTCAAAATACAGTGTTATCTGCTGTCTGCATCTACTTTGAAATGCTCAAAAACATGTTATGTACTGATGGATGGATAGCAAGAAGAGTAGGTAACTCTGGACAGATAGATATGTTATAAAACAAGTTAAGTAAAAATGTTCATGATAACAAAATAAAAATCTCTTGAACTTTGCTACCAAATAAAAAGGTAGTATCTGCAGAAAAAATTTTTCAAATCTTTTCATCCAAGTTTTTTCATAAATAAAGGAAACATACCAATTTATAAGCCAAATGAATAATTTTCACTCTTCATCGAAATATTTGCTGTGTGTGTAGCCAATTAAGACTTTACATAGTATCATCCAATATTTGAGAATATACGCATTCCAAAGATTATTTATGAACCATTCTGGCTCCTGGGAGAGAAATGGTGACATTGATTATCTCATTGCTAAAGTCTGGCTTATCTTATACCTGTATAGAGAGTCCATATTTATCCCTATCCATATCAAAATTCCCTGTGCATAGAAGGCAGTTCATGAATGGTAATAGGAGACCTGGGAAATGTGACCTTGACTGAACACTGCCATCTATCAGCCTCAGTTAACATCAGGCTAGAATCATTCATTATTTTCCAGATTCCACCCCTGGGTGTCCTGTGTTCTGGAGAGCCTCCTGAAGTATTGGTGCAGGGTAGGAGGATTGGGGCATTGAGAAGGAAGTAGAGGTCAAACTTCAGGGACAGGTTCCTGTCCCCAACCTGCATTGTGTGAAGGACAGGGTGCTAGGAATCTCCTCTTGGTTCTTGGGTTCCTTATGTCTCCAAATATTAGTAAATGTATTTAGTGATTTAATTATTATATGTTATTCAACTAAATGTCCTCTTACACTTCACACGATCTCAAATGGTGTAACCAGTGCTCTTTTTTGAAATGTTGCTCCCTAAATATCATATGCACTTTTCATTGGCACAAATGAAAGCATTTAACCAAGAATGAGTATGGGGATATTAAGAAGGATTCTCCAGAGAGAACTAACAGGAGATAATGGAGATGGAGATAGAGATAGAAGCAGAGATACATGAGAGGGGATTTATTAAGGGAGTTGGCTCATGAAGTTATGGAGCCTGAGGAGTCCCATGATGGACTTCTGCAGATGAGAGCATCTTGGATGTCGGTGGTGAATCCAAGACATGCCAGTGGTGTAACTCAGCGTGGGACCAAAGACTGGAGAACCCAGGGAGCTGCCAGTGTAATTCCTGGGATCCAAACTCCAGAGAGCTTAGAGGTGTGATGTCCAAGGAGAGAAGAAAAGTGCACCCTATTTCTAGGACATAGACACTTTCACCTTTTCCCTGCTTTTGTTCTCTCCATGCCTCCAATAGATTGGGTGATGTCTGCCAGCATTAAGGGAGTCTTTCCTACCTAGTCCACTCAGACACCAAAGCCTTCACACACAGACCCTAATATACTGTTCTACCAAGTTTTTCGGTAGTCCTTAATCCCATCAGGTTGACACCTAAAATCACCCATCACAATGTTTTTTTTTTTTCTCGGAAACAGAATTTTACCATTAAACAATGAACAACTGAGAAATATGCAAGAGCTACAGGTGCTAGTTTGTCCATCTCTTTTCATTAGCAGCCGAATTTTTGGTTTTTAAAGCAATGACTTTCTTTTCTCCTGACGACTGTTTCAGTCACATTTAGCAAGTAGTGATTGGACATGGCCTTTGCACATCTATCTGGAGTATGTGAACTCCCTTCTCCTTGGCTCTCATTTTATCAAAGGTCAAAGGAGAAGCTGTTCACATTCATCTTTTGGTTACTCATACTCTAACCTTCTGTTTCATCTTTTTGCAATATAATGAATTTAGGTGCTTGTGAACAACACCCTCTCCAGGTGTCTTAGCATAAATAGTAAAGCAAAAGATATTAAATAGATTTGTGAGCTGGACTAATTAGGTTCCCTGACCCCCATCACACACACACACACACACACACACACACACACACACAGAGTCAACCTGCTGATTAATTTCTAAATTTTCCGTGAGCAACCATGGCCAACGATGCCAGACTCTGTTGGGTGACCATGGGGTGCATGCTGATGGCAAATGCTCACTGCGTGGCTGCCTTTTCTCGTGCCCTCAGAGTGGCTGGAAGATGGACATCTCTAGGAAAGCATGACACATTAAGTAACTGCTGCATGACACTAAACAACCAGCGTGTCTCCTGTCACCCTGGTCAACGGTGTCCCCAAGCCTTTTAGAATCCCATTAAAATGAAGTGTGGACAAAGTAAATAGACCTCTTCACAAACATAAATTGAAAATGATAATGATTGCTGTCACTTTGTGGTGGAGGACTATGAATTTCACAGTTTATGGATTCTTCCTAACGAGAAGTAGATTAACATTTCTCACTGGATTAAAAATCCCAGGGGCCCAAACATTTACAACCAGAAAAAGAAGCTATGTGCTTCAACTAAAAGTAGAATTTTTCCTGTGATTCTGCCTCATGTATGATTGATTCAACATTAACAAAAGAAATACCACTAGGAAGTCTAAGGCTTTGAAATTTTCTGCTTGAAAGTTTTGAGTTTTTTTAAAGACTTATTTACTTTAAAGGCAAAATGAGAGATAGAGAGAGAGAAAGGGATTTTCCATTGCTACCACCCACATGGGAGACCTGGACAGAGTTCCAGTGGAACATTTTGGGATTCTTTCTGTCTCTCCCTGAATTTCAAGTAGATGAAAATAAATCAATACCTTTTCTAAATTAAGAATTGTATTAATAAAGTCTACCTCCCGGTCTTCTTGGCATGTTTGAAAAGTGAAGATGGTTCATAGTGGCCCTATGTGAGAATTGAGTACCAGGAATTCCATGGCCACCCGTGAGAGGTAGAATGTTTTCCAGAATCTGAGAGATGGATTGGAA